CCTCTCGTTAGAATCTGTGATTAACACTTGGGATAGTTCCCTCGTAAGCCTGTGAACATTCTATATTCTGTTACCTTGACAACTTCATTTTATTTTAAGTGGGCGTAGTGAGCAGTTAAAACCCCACTTTAGTTATCATGTATATATAAAAAATTTTGGATTCTATTGTAAGAAAGAATTACTTGCGCATAGGCTGCTATTGATGAAAAAGAAAAGCAATTTGCTTTAAAGAGAGAATTTTAGCAATTTATGAGCTGAATGAATAATAAGTATTGTTGACATTATGTTTGATAAAAGAAAGAATGAGAAGAGGCATTATAGCCAAAAAGAACTAGTAATTATTAAAATCATTAAATGCCTCATAATTTCAAACAAAACCAGGTATTATAATAGGTGTAGAAATTATAAATAATTTATCCACCGGTTATGAACGATTATTCAGTGAGCTAACTTTATTGTCAATTTTGGAACATAATCCGATATAGGTTCAGTTATTTAATGGCTGACGGTCAAGGCTGAAGATATGTGATTTATTTCTTTGTTGTATATAGTGTGAATGCTATTCTTTTCTGTTTGTAGTTTCATCATCTTTCACTGTATATCTTGTTAGTGTTCGACTTGGTCGCTTGGTTCAAAAAGAAATACTTATAGACATTTGCGTCATATCCTAAATAGTTTTATTTTTTTTACGATATAAAAAACACATTTGTGCAACTGTCATATTCTATCCAGCAACAGCTACTTGACTCCAAAATCAATGAAATAAACTGACACTTAAAAATCGCTGTATGTCACTTTTTAAGTGATGAAGTGTCACTTAAAGTGAGAGAAATATGTACAGCAAAACTGGAGGTAATTTCTCCCTTAACATAAACACAATTTTTGATAAAATTTTAGTCTTATTTGGGAATTAATTATTTGTTTCAAAGAAACAGTTATCTTCTCCGTTAGTACTTCCACTATTTATGTTAGGTAAGCGGTAGCTGAGTGCAGCTTGTAAAATAAGCTTAAGAAGCCATAAAGGGAGACAAAGTTTACAGTATGCGGCGTAGAACGTATAATTAATTGTTGTGTAGAAAAGAAGAATTATTATGTTCAGATTTTTACATGAAGTCGAATATGCTTCTATGAAGAAGAATAAGTCAAAACTATATAGAGAACATTGAAAAGTAATGATATTGAGGTCAATAACAGTTCACGAATACAATTCATCGCAAAAAACATACACAGTTTGAAAAATGTTTACCATTTCGATGCGCGTAAATTAAGAAAGTGGTGTAGTCTATTCTGACTTCGAATAAAATTTTACAATTTTTTATATCAAAGGTAGCAGTTGTGAAAAGTGCATCATCTACCGAGGGAACACCACCAAATGATTAAAAGCATTCTCGATCATACTTGGCTAATAGATAGACCCATGAAGTTTTTTTTGAACCAAAAATCGCGATAAATATACCGATTATCGCGCCGCTACCCTCTTTTCGACACAAAAAATATCAACATTTATAGCTTCTTTTATTAAAAAGTAACTAGCATCCGTTGATAAAAAGAATGATCCGCTGCATTTTTTGAATAACTTTTAACGGTAGCAGATAGAACCACGCGGTTTTCACTACTCGATACCGGAGCTGACGAGCGATGAAACTATGGAAAAATCAGGTCTCTAGATTAGGTCTACCATGATAAACGTTTCAAAACAAAGTCCAGAGGCTGCCCATTGGTACGAACAAACGGGATTTCTAATTTCAAGATGTTAATTCTATCCTCTGAAGTTTGCTCCCTAGAACTATGCAAGTTTCAGATCTCTGTTTCTTTTCGTGAAGATTGTACTACTGATTCGTCGATATGTATGATGGATATACGATGAATAAAGAGAGAAAAAAGGAAAATACTCAAGAATTACTGATGACACGATACTACATATGGGCGGAACCAAGGCTTTTCTGTCCCGATCCCGGAAAGAACGGGGGCGATTATTTGATGGAATCGGCCCATGCCTGAATTCCATCGACACATACATGGTTAGATGCAGAATGAACAAGAGAATATTTCTAAACACCCAACAGATCTTAGAATTGCTCTCAGAAAAAATTGGATCGAATTAACTGTAATCAAAGTTCTGCTCCTTGTGATATTATCAATCATATTTCTGAGCGTGTCTCTCTCGGCTTCATACCTCACTAGAACTATTATATCTCATTCGAAAGCTCTTTTTCTGCGCTATATATCTGTGTATCACATATACGTTATAAATATACCATTCGATAGAGAATTGCTCGCGCTACAAGTTCATATATATAAAATAGTGAAAAAGTGTCGTAGGGTACTTCGATATTAGAAATACTTTCTAGAAAGCTGTGATGAATGGGTGACTTGTTCAATGGTGAGGATCCAGTGATCAACGTTTCTCAACTAGCCACTACGATAGATATATCATTCGATAGAGAATTTCACGAACTTCAAAATGACCTATAAGTAAGTTTTTCAAACACATGTCCACATTGGTCAGTAGTTGAAATACTTGGCCGATATAATGATTTTCATCTATCTTAGTGCTTTGAACACTCCGTTAATCGTTTTTCTGTCATAATAGCTTTTGGATGTTATCTAAGCAGTACAGTGTGTCATAATCACAAGAACTCCCTTGTTTTTGACTTTTTAATAAAAGCTGGAACCAATCTGAATAATGTTTTGAATAGCCCGAACATTTTTCTATCATATGAGGTGTATATCGCCCTTTCATGAGAAAAGTTCATAAATAAACTTCTGCAAAACAAGACCGCCGAAAAAACAAGTCCCTAGTTTTTAGTGAGAAAGTTTTGCGAACTATATAGCCGAATAGAGCAAAGAATTCTGAGCAAAGTAAGACAGCCCCGGCATTCTATAGTGCTTTTTCATCGGAATGTTCTGGTAACTTTCACGCCCTTTGTAGCTATTGGTAAATGGACTACAGTTGCGTGATAAAGCACTATAGAATGCCGGGAGCTTAATTCGACCCAGTATTTTCTGAGAGCAATTCTAATATCTGTCGAGCGCCTAGAAATGTTCTTCTGTTCATTCTGCATTTAACCATGTATGTGTTGATGGAATTCAGGCAAGGGCCGATTCCATCAAAGAATCGTCCCCGTCCTTCTCTCAAAAATTTACATTTAACTATGGAAAAAAGATGAAATTTTAGCTGCTTTTACGAAAATTGTCAAAAAAACTTGAATCCCGTCGCGGTCTCGGTAAAGAAATCTTTTAGTCCTACTCTCGGTTTCATATATGCATCATAAACAATGATAGGAAGATACAGTTAGTGGAAAAAATGTTCGTAGGATGGAGGACAAAAAATTTCTAACGCTCTTGAAGCTAGAAGGATAGGAAGATTTATTTCTTATCAATCGACAGCTCCAACGAGGCATCCTATGGACATGCCAAACTCCGATTTCGTTCGTTCATACATCAATCGATATAGGATATCGACGTTAAAAACTACAAAGGATCTGTGCCGACGTCTTTTTCTTCAGAAGTTATGACGGTTTCGCTAGATTTCCAGCGAAAGATAGAAAAAATAGAAAAATTCATAACTTCATTCTAAAAAGTCGTATACATCTGAGTTTGTTTTTGATAGTGGTGATAGAGGTATACTATATGCGTTGAAAGTTTCAGACTTCCAAGCCTCTCCATTCCTAAATTACAGAACTTTCTATTTGCAAGGGAAATCCCGTGGTGAAAGAACGTATCGTGTTTTGTTTTTATAGGGTTTATTGCCCTCGATAAAAGACCTTGATCTTTTCATGGAGAACAAACAACAAATATCTATAAGAGATGCATCAGCAACTCATACTTTAAAAGACATAAGAGTACATTCATTTGAAGTGTGGTTGATTGAACATGGAAAGGTAAAATTGTATAATAAACAGGAGTCGATGTAAGTGCAGAAAAGAATTGAAGTAGCGATAAATGCAGAACTAAAATCATTTCCTTAAAAAGAATCTGGTGTCGCCCGATTCATCTAGATTACTAGATTTTTACTCGATTGTAACCACTGTGTAGCAACAGTGGAAATCTAGTAATTGGACGATTACTAGATTTTGCGTAGTTGAAACTATCGATTTATCGCCAGATGATCGATCGATTTAGATGCACATGCAGATGCATCTAGTTAAAAGTACCTTTTTTCACTAGTAATTTAGATCGCAACTAGTCGTGTCTCGCGCGATTATAGACGAAATGTATGTAGATTTTTCCCATAGATGATGTTTGCTTGGATGATTATTATATACAAATATGCATGAAAAAATAGTAACACATACTCTGTTTGCTTGATGTTGCTGGCGAAAAGAAAAAAAAATCTTGTTAAACAATATTGTTAAGATTTTTCTATTATGAACTTTTAGGTGTCATCAAACCTCTTCAATACTAGTTCATACATTTTCTATTAGCTAATGGTCTAGAGTATTTTGTCCTGTTTGTTCCACCTGCTTTTAAATAAAATTTGAGAAGAACCGAGCAAGTTGATCTCGCGCATTTGTAAAAAACAATACTTTTATCTACTGGAGTAATACTTAAAAGAAAACGTTACTTATCGTCAAGCACAACCATTTTGTCTTTTATCATCTGCAATATGACAAAGATGTTCTGGTGGTTTATTCTCTTTCTCTACGGCATCTATGCTGATCAGACGAATATAAGAAAGATGAAATTCACAATTCTATCAAATTCTTATTTCGATCCAAATCAAACTTCACTACTCGCAACTAAACAAACATTGTTTATACGTGAATCACTGCATATTGGCTGTTCTCGAATATGCCTCAGTACAGCTACTTCATGTCAAATAGCAGTCTACAATGGAACAGACCGAACCTGTTCAATTTACAATACGCGAGTGGGTATTCAACGAGCATGGTCTAGTCATACAACATTCATTGTCAATGAAACTAGTGAACCACTAGTAGCTCCAGTACAACCACGTATGTTTTATTCAATAGAGAACTGAGCTTTTTCTGATACATTTGTCTTATTTCTTTAGCTGATCCGAAATGGACAAATGTAGGCAATATGTCTGTTCAGCGTATGTACCACTCAGCAACACTGCTCAGTTCGGGTCGAGTATTGATTGCTGGTGGATATAATGGTACTGCAATACTTTCTTCATGTGAACTTTACATTCCGGAAAGCGGAACTTGGATCATGACCGGATCGATGCCTTCTGTACGCGCGCGTCACACAGCTACAATTCTATCGACCAACAGTTCTATTACCGATCTTGTTTTTGCTGTTGGTGGAGTATCAACCACTGGAAACACTCCTCTATC